TTTTTTTCCAAGCATGGTCCAAAGGTAGGAGAAAAGCTCTCCCGGAACTCGACTTCCCCATTTTACAGCTAGATGTCTTAATTTGTCCAACATATTCCGCTTTCGCTCAGGTGACTGTGAAGCCATCAGATGACGCAAATCCATTTGCATCTGAGGCACCAGCACCAGTTACTTGGATGACAAGCGGCACAGCGATTATGAGGAATGTAATGTTGAGTAGAGTCCTGACATGAACCCAGGCACATCATCTTTGGGCTGTGTCCACATTGTTTATTGGTGTTTTTGCATGTTTGGTACCGCCAGGGCTGTGAATCATGTCCATCACGATGAAACAATCACTGGAGCCATAAAACTCCAAGACCTACAAGAGAATAGGTTTATTGCATATGGATTGTTTGGGACATCCATGCTAGGCCTTTCCGTTTCCTCAATGTTCACATTTGCATTCATTTGTTTGTGCTGCCAAAGTTTGATTGGAATAGCTGCAGAACCTTTCCGGGCGACTTGCAACATGTTATCAGCCGGGCATTTGTCTAATACATGAACAGTTTGTGGAACTAAGTTTTGGAGTTGATCTATTTCTGGCGGTGTCGGGCAGTTGATAGAAAGAGTTCTAGGTTGGTGTGGTTAGGTTTTGGAAGAGCTATTTGCACAAGAAGCCATTCAGGGGAAACACCAAGTTGTAGTTTTCTTTGCAGTTGCTGCTTGCCAGCTACGTGTGTTGAGGTGAGTACGCCGGCTACGGATCCTTTCTCAGCACCACCAGTTGCTTGGATGATAACCGGCATTAACAACAGACTTATGCAGTGCCAACATGGTCCTATTTTGGTTTAGTTCATGTTGGCACAGCCAGGAATTATCTAGATGAAGCTGCGCATGGCAGTATAGTATTGTATTGCAAATCATGAAGGCACGTTTCCATGGGATTGGGAAGTGACGAGCCAGCCCAGTGACTGATTGTTTGATTGTGTTGGGAAGCGGGTATCAAGAGTCATTGGCGGCTGGTGTGTGGTCCTGAGCACGCTTTTTTTCCAAGCATGGTCCAAAGGTAGGAGAAAAGCTCTCCCGGAACTCGACTTCCCCATCTTTGAACTATATTTTTTAAGTTGTCCAACATATACCACTTTTGCTCAGGTGGCTGTGAAGCCATCAGATGACGCAAATCGAGCATCAAAGGCACCAGCACCAGTCACTTGGATGACAAGCGTCACGGCACAACAATTATGAGGAATGTAATTTTTAGTAGAGTCCTGAACCCAGGCACAACATCTTTGGGCTGTTTCCGATGTTCACATGTTGATTCCGGCAACTTGCAACATGTTGAGGTGAGTATGCCGGCTACGGATCCTTTCTCAGCACCACCAGTTGCTTGGATGAGAACCGGCATTAACAACAGACTTACACAGTGCCAACATGGTCCTTTTTTGGTTCAGTTCATGTTGGCACAGCGACAAAAGGAATCATTTCCATCAGAAACCACCAGTTTTTGAGGGAAGCACGTTGCCATTACAGACACAGACAATAGGTCTAACAACTTCCTGCGGAAAGTATTTCGTTGTAAGCGCAAAGGCCCTTCTTGTGATTTGTTTTGTGAACAAGCTAGTGCACTGTCTAGAAGGGTCGGGAGATTGGCTTCTCGTTGCTTACCGACAACTTGTTGCTAAGACATGGTCAGAGATATGAGATATGAATAGCATCAATATCTAGACGAAGCTGCCCATGACAGTATAGTCTGGCAAACATAGAGGCACATGTCCATGGGATTGGGAAGTGACGAGCCAGCCCAGTTGACTAGTTGTTTGATTGTGTTGGGAAGCGGGTATCATGAGTCGTTGGGGGCTGCTGTGTGGTCCTGAGCACGCCTTTTTCCAAGCATGGTCCAAAGGTAGGAGAAAAGCTCTCCCGGAACTCGACTTCCCCATTTTACAGCTAGATGTCTTAATTTGTCCAACATATTCCGCTTTCGCTCAGGTGACTGTGAAGCCATCAGATGACGCAAATCCATTTGCATCTGAGGCACCAGCACCAGTTACTTGGATGACAAGCAGCACGGCACAGCGATTATGAGGAATGTAATGTTGAGTAGAGTCCTGACATGAACCCAGGCACAACATCTTTGGGCTGTGCCCACATTGTTTATTGGTGTTTTTGCATGTTTGGTACCGCCAGGGCTGTGAATCATGTCCATCACGATGAAACAATCACTGGAAGGGCTATAAGACTCCAAGACCTACAAGAGAATAGGTTTATTGCATATGGATTGTCTGGGGTAACCGGGTAACCGGGTCCATGATATGCCTTTCTTTTCCTCAATGTTCAGATTTACATTCATTTGTTTGTGCTGCCAAAGTTTGATTGGAATAGCTGCAGAACCTTTCTGGGCGACTTGCAACATGTTATCAGCCGGGCATTTGTCTAATACATGAACAGTTTGTGGAACTAAGTTGGTGGAGTTGATCTATTTCTGGCTGTGTCCAGCAGCGGATAGAATGGGTTCCAGATTGGTGTAGGTAGGATTTGGAAGAAGTATTCACCCATGGAATACTGCGGGGAGTCTGCCCTGCTTCGCGGGGAGAATGCAGCCCCTTCCATCCACTTGTATTCACTACATCATGAGGCCGCCTTGTGAGACTTGAACCTGTCTTTTGCTGCTCCGCCAAGATGACTGGCTCAAGCCCGTGCTTATCATTTGATATGTTTGTCTTATTTTGCGTTATTTATGTTCTGATTATTTCTTATGACGTTTCTTATTCTTCCTCTTCTTTCTTGATCGTTTTATTCCTCTTTATTATGATTCTTATTCTGGGTCCTCCTCCTCTCCATCATCATCATGTTCTTATTCTTCTCTTGCTTGCATCGTCTTTTCTTCTTATTTGTTTATGTGTATTCTTTGTTTTTCTTGTTTTTTTGGTTTTGTCTTCTTCTTCTTCTTCTGCTTCTTCTTCTTCTTGTTCTTTGTCGTCTTCTTCTTCCTTAAAGCGATTTGAAGGGAAGGGCTCAGAAGCCAATACACACTATGCTAATAATGCACTGTCACCCTACACTCAGAACCTGTTGGGCTTTGTTGCGCCCATGTTGGCAAAAAAGCTTTTCAATCAACGTCAAACACACTAGAAAAGTACTGAAAGTGAACAAACTAAAGCTCAAAGCTTCAAGCTCAATGCTTCCGCTTGGGGATCACACACGGCACCTTGGGTGCGGGCGGATTTGCACAAGAAACCATCCAGGGGGGGGAAGCACGAGTTCCAGTTTGTTTTTTGCAGCTGCTGCTTGCCAGCTATGTTTGTTGAGGTGAGTACGCCAGCTACGGATCCTTTCTCAGCACCACCAGTTGCTTGGATGATAACCGGCATTTAACACAGACTTACGCAGTGTCAACATGGTCCGTTTTTGTTTCAGTTCATGTTGGCACAGCAACGGCTGGCAATCATTTCCATCAGGAACCATCGTATTTTGGGGAAGCACGTTTCCATTACACAGACAATAGGTCTACAGTAATTATGTCCTGCAGAATGTATCACGCGGTAAGCACAAAGGCCTTGTGATTTGTGTCGTGAAGAAGCTAGTGCTTGGTCTGGAAGGGTCTGGAGATTGGCAACTTGTTGTTCGCCCAGTGGACTGATTGTTTGATTGTGTTGGGAAGCGGGTATCAAGAGTCATTGATGGCTAGTGTGTGGTCCTGAGCACTTGCTCTTCAAATCATGGTCCATTGCTCTGACGGAAGTCGATTTCCTCATTTTGGAGCTAGGTTTCTTAGTTTGTCCAACATATTCCACTTTTGCTCAGGTTTCTCTGAAGCCATCAGATGAAGCGAATCCATTCGCATCAGAGGCACCTGCAGCTACTTGGATGACAAGCGGCACAGGCTGAAATATCCCATATTTAGTGGAGTCCTGAACCCCGGCACAACAGGATTGTGCAGTGTCCACATTGTTTATTGGTGTCTTTGTATGTTTGGTACCGCCAGGGCTGTGAATCATGTCCATCACGATGAAACAATCACTGGAGGGAAGGGCATTATATATATATATATACACATGAATTCAAGGCATACAAGGGACCGGGCTCATTGCATGTTTACTGTCTCGGGGATCCATGATATGCCTGTCCGTTTCCGCGATGTTCACATTTGGATGTCATAACTCTGTCAAAAAAAAGCACCAAAACACCATCAAATCCATTTGTCCGTGGTGCCAAGCTTGTATTCATAGAGCGGACCACTTGGGTCAACCTTCGTTATCAGCCTGAGCAGTTTGTGGATTGGGGCTGTGTCGAGCAGCGGATAGAATGAGTTCCAGGTTGGTGTTGTTAGGTTTTGGAAGATGTATTTGCACAAGAAACCATTCAGGGGAAACCTCAAGTGTCAGTCTTCTTCGCAGTTGCTCCTTGCCAGCAACACCTAAACAACGCAATCTGCGTTTGTTGAGGTGAGTATGCCGGCTACAGATCCTTTCTCAGCACCACCTGTTGCTTGGTTGATAAGCAGCATGGCGTTGCTGAACACCTGCAGACATGTGAACCCATAAACAACAGATTTAAGCAATGTTAACATTGTCCTGATTGTTTTGGTTCATGTTGGCACAGTGACGACTGGAATCATTGTGGCCCCAAGGACCACTTGGGGCAACTTGCAACTTTGAACAGTTTGTGAAGTTCACTTTGTAAGAGTTGATATATTACAGAGTGTGTCAGGCAGCGGACAGAATGAGTTCTAGGTGGGTGAAGTTCGGTTTTGGAAGAGGTATTTACACAAGGAACCATTAAGAGAAAAGAACAACCTCAAGTTCAATTTTTTTTCGCAGTTCCGGCTTGCCAGCAACATCTGAAACACGCATTCAGCGTTTGTTGAGGTGGGTATGCCGGCTATGGATCCTTTCCCGGCACCACCAGCTACTTGGATGATAATCGACATTTAGAACAAACTAACGCAGTGTCAACATGGGCCTGTTTTGTTCATATTGGCAATGCCACGTCCTATTCCAGCATGTGCTGTGCCCAAAGTGTACAGACAATAGCCTATGTATGTCCTGCAAAATGTAATGTGTTGTATGCACGGAAGCCCTTCTTGTGATTTGTGTCGTGAACCAGCTTGTCGTGCACGGTCTGGAATTGTCTGGAGATTTGCAACTTGTTGCTCACCCACAACTTGTTGCTAAGGCATGGTCAGAGATTGAGATATCAATAGCATTAATATGTTGACGAATCTGCGTAGGAGTATAGTCTTGCAAACATGGCATGTTTCCATGGGATTGGGAAGTGACGGGCCAGACCAGTTGACTAGTTGCTTGATTGTGTCGGGAATTGGGTATGATGAGTCATTTGTGGCTGGTGTGCAGCCCTGACCACTTTCTGTTCCAAACATGGTCCAGTGGTAAGAGAAAATCTCTCCCCAAACTCCATTTCCTCATTATAGAACTAGGTTTGATAGTTAGTCCAACATATTCCGCTTTCGCCTAGGTCACTCAGAAGCCATCAGATGGAGCAAAACCAGAGGCACCAGCACCAGTTACTCGGATGACCAGCGGCACAGCGTTGCTGATGAATGCAAAGCAGTGTCCATACTGTAGTTTTTTTTTGGGTTCCTTTTCATGTTTGTTCAGCCAGGACTGGAGGGAACGATTATTTAGACTGCAAAACCTACAAGATAACAGGTTTATTTCATTTGGATCGTCTTGGGCATCCATGATATGCCTGTTCCTTTCCCTGGTGTTCACATCTGTTTTTCTTTTTTTTACGACATTGAGTCAAAAGCTCCAGAACAGCAAATCCACGTGTGCCTCTTGATAAACGTTCAATCATAAACGAGCTACAGAAGCACTTGGGGCAACCTGCAAATTGTTTGGTGGTTGTTGCGTGTTCAAGTTCATGTGGTAAAATGAGCTATTTATAGGACATGTGGGTTGGTTGTAGAGGAGCTCTCCACATAAGAAACTATCAAGGGGGACTTCAAGCTCCGATGTTCTCCACAGCTCCTCCTTCCTACCAACGCAATCCACCAACGCACTCCACTGATCCATTCGCAGTTCTGACAGGATCACAATTGGCGCAGCGTTTCTGAGCACTTACAGCTGCACACAAATGAACTCATGAACAACAAATTGTTGCAGTGTTAACATGGTCATTCTGGTTCCTGTTTATGTTTGGTAAAGCCAACATCATGAATATTCAATCAAAGGCGTTACTTAAACAGTGTTTGTCCTCCAACCCGTGGTCAATGACATGAACCGGTGGTAAATCAGGCCCATGTACACAAGGAAATGAGTCGATGACCGGGACAAATGGGGACCAACAAACATCTCGTGTGTCGCAAGAAGCGGACACAGCACGAAAAGGAGACTTGAATAGACTCACATAAACTTGGCGGGTATTACGTTGTTTCGGTGTTCAATGCAATTCTCCAAGTGCCTTGTGTCTTTGTCCAAGTTCTTGTTTCATCACTTCTTGAGAGAAAAGACCTTGCAACAGAAACACCTTTGACCTTGAACAAAATGAAAACAACACACGATTCTCAAAGCAATGTGTTTTTTTGGTTTCCATGAACGGTGTCGTTGAACGTCAACAGGACCTTCATGGATCGCCCGTCGATTCGACGGCCTGGCCGAGCAGGCTGACCAGCCAAAGGAGGCCCGGGGCCGAAGGGGAAACAACGGGAGAAGGAGGTGGAAAACAAAGATGTACCAATGGACTACCCCACACTACCTATAGGCTTCCATTGGGCATCCCTTGGAGGGTCCTGGTATGATTTACTTTGTGTAGTTTTCTCACTGTTTACAGTAATAATGTGCTGGCACATGATTTGTGCGAACGCAAAACCTTGCTTTCATGGTGTTCTGGCCAGCGCCTTGCCCGGGCCGACTCTTCGCTCGGCGACGCGTCTTTTTTGGCGATGCGTCGGACATCGTTGCGGTCATCATACGGGGACCCGGGTCCGAAAGAGACGAGGAATTGGACCCAGGCAGTGAATTCAGTCTATTATTCAGTTAGTTCTATTCACTTATAGTTCCATGTAATTGAGTTCATATACACTTATAGAATCAGAATATGTATGGAACTCCAGCTTCAACAACAAACTAGTATGGTTTACCCCAGTACCCACTTCGCAAGGTGCTTGATGGTATTATACTATGTGAAACTCTACTTGGCCCCCTCAGATGCTTTCCGCTACGAATGCAGATCCGACTTCCAGAGACATGAAACAGACGGGCCAGTCAAACGGAACTCTTTTCAAAACCATCGAAGCTTCGGGTCAGGGATCAGGATATTCAAAGCAGTCTAATCTTTATGTACACTCCCTGTGGACAATTGTCTCTGGGATGGCCATTTTCCTCTACCAGCAGGCGGTTTTCACTCCACTTCCATGACTATTTGAGGGAATGCAACAAACATAGAAACTTGGTGCTTTGCAACTCAACCATGGCTGGGGTCACTGAGGGTTTTTCTGAGTCGAACGGTCTTCCGTCAGAAACTGTCAGAAAACCCAGCGTTTTTGTTGTTTCACGTTGGCCAGAAGAAGGAAGCAGAAGAGTATGGCATCATTGAGGCACGGGTGTTTTCGCTGTCATTGTTCAAAGGCTAGCTATTAGTTACTATTCACCCAGTACTGTAATTACTTCGTAGATCTTCGTATTTTTTTTGTGATGTACTTCTTGGTAGGTTGAATCACTGTTCGCTTCACTTCAACTCCTTTTTTTTTTTGCTAGGCATTGCAGGCAGCACTGGCGGCAAGCCAGGAAGAGGTCGGGGGCGAACGAGATTTCCGCCCTTCGGTTCGCTTGGCATCGGTGGTGTTGGAACTCGCTTGAAGGAGTGAGGGAGACCTGTCAACTGTTGGGAGGTGAATTACGTAGTGTCAAAGTAGATCAAAGTATATTCACGACTGCATCAGTGACATGATTAATGATTAAAAGAGTGAATTCATATGTTAAGAAGTCAGTCACATTTGTAGTGAAAAAGTATATCAAAGTATATTCAACCCTTTCCGCATCCGGGCACCCCGGATATCCTGGAACCGGACGGTACCTGAGGAGATGGGGCGGGCCAGGAGCCCTAGGGTTCAAAAAATGTTCAACCACCTTGACCTGACATGATTCACGATTGATCCTGTCCTAGAGACTGAACAGAATGCTTTTGAAACCATCCAATAGTGGACGTGGATCTCCCATCAGAGATGGAATGGTTTTGAAAGTAGGCAGTGGAGGCCTTTTTTGCCTCAATGGATGAGTTCAAAGAATGGGCGACAGTGTTGGAATAGGCTATCATATTTTGTTTGTCAAATGTGTATGTGATATCAGTGCTCATGCGCTCAGTGGCCAGAAGTTGAGGGATTCACTCATTTGGCTCGACGAGAGGCGGTCGTATAGACTGTGCCTGCCTAGCGGCCTAGCACATCATCGAGGCTGCCAAGCAGTCTTGTCTTATCCAGTGCCAGGACGCTTGAAAATGGCTTCCACTTCCCGGTGTTCCGAGTGGAACCTTCTTCCCCATCTCCCCAAGCGTCCGGCAATGGTCGGGTGGTCTCTCGCTGTGAAGGCAGCACTCAACGACTCGTACTCCTTATGCATACGCAATTACAGTGGTTTCAGAGGTTCCAGACGGCGCAGACCTCCCCCAAGATGTCCTATCTCGATGGGGGTCCAAACATAAACCACCGACAGACAGGGGTCTGTGCCATCTACGTCCTCTCGTCTTCCACGATACTTTCGTTGATTCGAACACATGTCTCATGTTGCGAACCCTCCGTTGGGTCCAGGAATGTCCAGATGCTTTAGCCTCCGCTCGTCAAGCTTCGACCGGAGGCTCGTCAAGCCAAAGTGGCAGCACAAGAGGCTCAGAAGACGCTGGAGTTGCGGCCCCTCGGTGCTTGACAAGCCGGCGTGACTTGGGGGTTGCGTGTTGTTTCTTTTACTGTTTGGGTTTGTTTAATGACCGAAAAAAAAAAAAAAAAAACATACATATTAATAAATATAATTCTGTTTTGCAGTGGGTGTGAAATGGTGTCAACACTGAGTTTTTTTAAAGTGTACAATATGATATGATTATATACTTATCGAGGTTTGGTGTTTGGTAATTAATGTGTTGGTGAAAGCACTTCTTGGGCTTGGGCTTCAAGCTATCGATAGAGAAGGGCGAGAAGAGCAGGCATTCCTGGAAAGACAAACACAGCAGTCTTCACTGAACAACAATCAGCCTGGTTTGTGAGGTGTTTTCTCCCTGAATCTCCCTGATATTTTTTGGTTTCAAGCTAATATCGTAATCTCATCAAATCTCTATAAATCTCTTGATTTGTGGGCATAAACGAGACTGGGTTTCAATTTATGCACATAAATCAGGGAGAAACCGTAACCCAAAACATTTGTCTGCAAAAGGACCATAAATATATAACAATATCCGATATCAATATATATATATATATTCATATAGTCTCATAGTCACAGTTGTTGATTGCACGTGTTTGGTGCTTTGCGACACCAATCTACTACGCGAAAACGTTGGTGGTCCACGATTCATGCTTCCGCCGCGGCCGAACGTGGCGCGTCTGGACGATCCGGGTGACATGGTCACGATCCGAAGTAGCGGCCCCTCGGTACGTACGCCGATCATCCGGATCCAGTTCATGTCTGATGAAGATGACAAGTATATGTTGCCTCCTGAGTCGGAGTTGTGTTTGCACAATCAAAGAGTCGGTCAAACATTTAACATACAGTATATAATAATATATAATCATGTCGCCCTTGTGACCCTTGTGAACCCATCAGAAAAATTTATTTGATAATGAATAATGCATTAATATTAAGATTATGGCTTTCTAGGGTCAACCAACAATTCAGTTTCGTTTTTTGTTTTTGCTTTAATATGTTGTTCATTGGTTATTTATGTCATGCGAATTGATCTGTGGTTTCTCTCATGCACTGTTTTTTATCTATTGTCTCTTAATCTATTGAGCTACTAGGAGACATCACCCATGTGCATCTCACATTATTACCGTTATGTGTTCTTATTTGTAAACGAAGAAAATACCGATGGACCACATGAAGGTGACAATGAATTTCCTAATCATGTCAAAGGGAGACTGCCCGTCCAAGTCGGTCCAAGTCAACAAGACACAACTTGGCGCTGGAGCTGCGAGCGCCATGGCGAAACGAAGACCATTTCTCTAGAAGTATAGGCTACTAGGGCCTTGGGGCCCCGCAAACCATCAAAAACCTGGTGTTCCCTGGCAGAGCAACAAACATATTTTCTTTGTATGGAGCAGTCGAAGGATCTGTTCAATCACGAACTCCCAAACATGTCCAAGGTTGGCGCAGTTCGAGGCCGGCACCGAGCGGAGTTGGCATATTGTTGTGCCTCAAGTTCAAGAATTCACCATCTATTTCTTTGAGATGGTAGAGTCTGGTAGAGATGGACTTTCCAAAGCCATCCAAAAATTCATCCAGACCCCCAGACACCCGAGACCTTTGGGATCTGACCATTCGTGGCCTGACCAGACACCTCGCCAGGCTGAGTTGGC